TAGTACTTTGAAATATTTCAAAGTCCGAGTAGTAGGACTTTGAAATATTTCAAAATACTAGAACTTTGAAATGGGTGCGGTCGTATTTGATGATGATTTCAAACTACTGCGTGTGGTACAAAAGAGAAACCCTGGTTGGTCGATGAGCTCATGAACAAATAATTGATGAGTATGAGATGGTCATATTCATTCTAAATCAGTTAAAGAATAGTTAAACACTCGTGAGGTATGGAATTTAGAGATGCTTGCAAGTCATTTTCGCATCAATGCTCGGCCGAGCTCTGAATTCAATAAAGCATTTGCATTTATTTTCTAACCCTTACTTGGTTTTAGTTCCAAAAAAAAGAGAGAGATTCGTCCCACTTTAAAAAATGCCTATTATTAGCCCCTGCCCCAAAACCACTCCCACCCCCGCTCTCCCAAAAATTGCTCCGCACCTCTGCATATCCACGACCCTCTGGTCTTTATGAGGCATTATATATATCAATTACGTTTGTGTCTTTTAAGCCCCCTCTGCTCCAATTAATGTCAATGGCACCTTGATACCTGCACAAGGTTCCTTTGAACCACGAGTTGTTATCACGTGGGATAGACCAAGTGAACCTAATGGCATCATCAGGAAGTACACCATCGTATACTACTACAACAAGGATACATCCAATAGCAAGACAGTCACCATCAGTGGATCAGCTAATCTCACCTACAGTATCGATGTTACAACCAGTGGAGTGCTATCATTTAAGATCAGAGCAACTACAATCAAGGAAGGACCTTATCAAATGGGAAACAATATAGAAGTACCTTCCGATCGTAAAGGTGATTAATTTGTTCTCATTCCTAAACAATAAGTGGACAATAGCTAATGAAAGCTCAGCGCAGGGGCGGATCCAGCCAAAAATATAAGGGGATCTTGACCAAATTCTGCAAATGACACTACAGAATTTGGAAAAATAAAAATAATAAAAAAGGAGAAAAAATAAACATATTTTAGCTAAAAAATATGCTTTCTATTCGACTTCCAGAAACATCACCAACGTTGTGAAGAGGGAGAGGGGGTTAAAACCTCCATTTGCCTTTCCCTCGATCCGCCCCTGCAGCTTGATGTGAATGTGGGAAGACGAAAAAATAAATCAAGAATTAAATTACCTTGGAATTTATGCTGATTAAAACTGATAATGCAAGGCCATTAATCACAAAATTGCTTGCATTATCAGAAAATCA